CCCCCCCCAATGGGACAGTGGAATCAGGGTCATTCCAACCTAAACATAATTTATCTGAGTCCTATACGGTGTCGAATCAGGCTTCCTATTGGGGCTAATATTGTACACTGTTTACAAGTTCAATGTTTAGACAAAGAGACCCTAATTTTACATTGATTTGAATATATGGCATATGTAATAGATTACGTTTAGACAGTTGCTCATGATTGTAAAGCTGTTGTAGGAAGTTAAATAGACAATTATTTCTATGTTTGCAAATATGTGTTCAATGTTTGAGAAATTGTTTAAAACCTATCCGACTTTGGAATGTCCATGTACATGTAGTTGTATAAAATTAACGACATTTTACTGCTAAGGTTGTTGAATACCCATCCTCTATGGGACTGAGAAAAGTAGGTGGAGACTTGTCAAATCCTCCAACTTCTCAAGTCCAATTATTATGCTCGACTAGAGATTAGATAAAGCGGTTTTGATGGATTGGACATGCTTTCAGGAAGCCAGGTAACTGCATTACAAAGACATTATTGGATTGGAATCCAAGAGTCACAGATGACGATGTGCAAAGAGGTGAAAAGACATGGAATAATGATATCATGAGGTTAAACCACGATAAAGAATTGTGGAATGTGCTCATGGTGTATACCCTGATCCGAGATCAGAAAGGCATTGATGATGGTGGGGATGAGAGATTAGATAGGCCCAAGGTCACTTGTGCCATATTCCTGTATAATTCCAACTGAGCTAACTTAACTTCGATTCTTTTTTTTTTTTTTACTTTAACCACTTGTTGTGTGTATACAATACGGTGGGAAAAGCTCTTTTTTGTAAATAGTGAATGAAAAGATTTTGTGTTCTCCTCCTAGGTATCTAGCTGTGAAGGTGCTTCTTGTGATATGGTGATTGGTTGGTTGGTGGGTGCCCTGGTGTGGTCGTTCCTTCTTTCTTAATAAATTACGTTCCTATCTCTTCTTGTAATTTTCTTTATATTATTAATATTATGTTACTCTCTTGTAACATCTCTAATAGTCGGCATTATATGACTGATTTGCGTTGCAAATACGGTAAAACACTAACTGGAACTAAACAGTGTTCGTGATATAGTATGCCTAATATACAGACAGTATGGTGTCTTTCTGATCTTGTAACTTCAAAAACTAGATTATCTATTGACCAAAAAAAACCTTTACCACAGGA